TCAAGTCGAACTCGAGCTCGAGTTTGAAATTGTCAATTCATCGAATTCGAGTTCGAGTTCAATAAAATTATGTCGAGACTCGGCTCGATTAGGCCAAATCTTGACTCGACTCGATTAGTTTGCTGCCCGACAATGTTGTGCGACAACAATGTAAATTGACAAGACAAGAAGCACTGACAAAAGTTTTGGTTTGTGCATTCGGGAGTGGACTCCCCACCCAAAAAAAATCCAAGAAATGAAAGATGAGTAGAAAAGACAAATCAAGTGTGTGTCCTAGATATTTTGAGAAAAAAACAAAATGTAATCCTGATAGAATTACAAAAATGAAAAGCAACAGGATTCAAGGGTGTGGCCTTAGCATCAATCTTATGCTTTTTATTTTTTATTTTTTCCGTTTGATAAGATCGATTGTTACTTCTTCCTTGTTTTCTTGGAAATCCAAATATTGCAAGAACATCTATTTTTTCACGAACATCTTTTTTTTTTTTTCAACTAAATGCTGGTGCATTATTTCCTCAGGCATCGAGATTGAGAAACAGGCTGGAATAAGTATAAATTTCCACGCAAGAAAATTCTCTTTGAAGAATGATCATTTGGGTTATCCTTCTGGAATAGTAGACATTATTGCTTGGGTAGCTGCCAGCACCATAAATGGTCTGTTGAATATATCTGATCTGAACCGAAGCAAAGTATGACTCCGCAATTTAGACCTTTTGATGCAAGCATAAGCATGTGATGTATATTCAGTCAACGGCAACGCCAAAGCTTCTCACCGTGGCCGTAATCAGTAAATACTATATCATTAAAAACTTTGAAATAAAGATAAGAGATTTTTAAAAACCCAAAAGTCAATGGATGGTTGTATGGGAATGTGACATATCCAACCTAGCATCACAACCAATATTGAACATTAAATATTCAACCCAACATCATCATCCTATTGAGTGAGTATTCCCTGTAAAAAAGAGTATCAGGTGATTGCAACAATGTTGCAAATCTGGTTCGTTAGAACAAATATAATCACTTATTACCAATTATGTGAAATTACTGTGAAGACATTAGTTCATTCCAATTACGCGATTTGTCACTTTCTAGATTGTGGAAAGTATGGCTCCAATTCCGTGGGGGCTTTCTTTCTGTTTGTGTGAAAGTCAATACACTTTTCAAAAGTATTCCTAGAAAAAACCGCCCATAGGTTTGAAATAAATTTTTGCAAATGCATCTCTAGGAAATACGTTTGAGATCTTTTTCAACCGGGATGATATGTTGTTCAAGTGGAAACGGTTTCATAACTTTGAAGCGAAAGTGCAAGATAATTGCAGAAGTTTTCATCTTTGCGCTTTGAATTTTATGCCTTGAATTTTCCACCATTAATTTCTTTCGCTTCTCTTGCATTTTTTTTAAAAATTAGAGTTCACTTGTGAAGTCTCAAACTCATGTGATACATCAAGTTGTATATTCAAGATTATAATCCTCCATAGCGTTTGTTGAAAAACAAAAAACTATACTCTATAATCATATGATGTAAACGAGTTTAAACAAATTGAACGTTCTAATATTCAAATTTTTTTGATTATTTTGACGAGTTTAGAAATTTTGTTCAAATTTAACTTATTTATTTCTCGAGACAAGTTCGAAACAATTTTTATTGAGCCAAACTCGAGTTGGATTCGAGTAACTTGAACTTTTTACATGTAAATTTTACATATATGCTAATCAAACCGAACTCAAAACAAACTTGAAAGTTTATCAAACATGAATTGCTGTTCCGACTTGGTTTGATTAACTAGAAGGCCAAACTCGAACGAATTCTTATCGAACCAAATTTGATTCGAGTATCAAGTAACTTAATTTGTTTTTCAACCCCATGTAATCAACTAGATTATTTTCATTTTTACACCATGTCAACTAGTAAATAAATAGTTTGCAAAAATATTCCTAAGAAGAAAGTGTGTACAGGAGAATCATTTTGCAGTTTTTTTTTTACAACAATTGAGCTACATAGAAAAAAATGAAAATAAATAAACAAGAACATTGAAAAATTACTCCTACAGTTAGTTATTTTCATGTCAAAAAAACTTCTGTAAATTTGTGGATGTTTTTTGAGCTTCTTCATATGTTTAGTTAGAGGGCCATACATTATTCTGATAAAGACATGCATCTCGAAACATATTATTCTTTAGTTTTGTTTCTTGTGATTGTCTTAATTAAGCTGTTGTATGGTTACTCCAGAGAAGATTCAGCATGTATAGTTGGTGACAAGTAAAAGCAGGATCTTTTAGCTGATCTCTTTGGTCCTTGTTCCACATTTTACTAGAAATCTTAAAATTATACGTGTCAATGTCGACTAGGGGTGGGTACGGTTGGGTACCCGTCCCTAACATGATTTAGCTAACCCAACCCTAATATATCGAATCAGCCATTTTATGACCCTAAACACTCGAAAAAAGGGGCGGGTAGGGTACCCGCCCCTAAAAAAAAATTCCAATAAAAAAATTGTTTCGCACTTAATATAAACATATTTTTGATTAAAAAAACATATTTTTCAATTAATATTGATAGAGTTATTGTAATCAAAGTCTATACATCACCATTCTCACATATTTCATCTAACAATCAAACCGATCTCATAAATTTAGTACATATTAGAATTATAATATCTAATAGACAAAACGAAATTTCATGTTAATTTTGAACATCACCATTCTCACACATTTCATTCTTCTACAACACAACAAACACAAGGATAATAAGTATCTGGCAATTTCCCCAACTTTCTTAAGGATGTTATGGTACAAGACTGCCTCCTAAATGAGTCGACTGTGGAATCAAGTCCGGAAAAGAATTGAACAGAGTTAATTATTTTTGGAGAAAGTATAACCAAAATAAGCTTGAAAAATCTTTCCCAATTTCCTTACATCTTTGGAATAGACCTTATGGCATTAAAGGTGATGAAAAAGAAAAAAAAAATTCTTGCACTAAAATAAAAGAGACAAATTTAAAAGACATATTTACAATAAAATAAATCAAATAAATAAATAAATGAAAGATGCAAATGTTTTAATTATCTAGCTAACAGAAAATTGGAACTCCAAACAGAAATCTTTGATTGAATTGATGAAAAATTTGCAGGAAAGATCGATGGAGGTAGAATAAAAATGAAAAGGATCAAAGGGATGAACAATTTTTATGATAGAGTTTCACAAATTTTTCTTCATTTTGTTCATTTGATTCAGGTTTCACGGAAAATATTCGTTCTCTTTAAACAATATGAGGAGAGACGGATCATATGGTATTAGAATATGAGATTGTGAGCCAGTCCACTTACATTTAGGATTAAAAATTATAAAATTTAAAATGATTCCTAATTTTTTTATATTTATATAATATACCCTGCGGGTCGGGTACCCGCGGGTTTTTATTTTTCTGATCCGTATATGTTTTTCGCAGGTACCCGACCCTCATCTGTCCCGTTAAGAAAAATCGGGAAAGCAATGAAGCAAGTGTTATGTAGTAATCAAATAACATTTGAAGTGTTATGTAGTAATCAACTAAGAAACTGATTATTCAACCACTGAAGCAAAAGCAATGCCTTTAGGCTTTAATATAAGAGTTTAATACGCCTATAACTTCTCCGGAAGGAAAGGCAGATTTCCAACAATTCTTTTCAGGAGGAGTTGGACCAAAGTTTGGCACTTTATAGTCAAAAATTGCATTTTAATTACCCAACAGGGAAACTTGGTGTACTATATCCAGATGAATCATCTGACTTTGTCGGTGTGCCAAACACCATCAATGATAATCATTACTCTCTCATTCGCATTCCCATTGAGGGGTGCGCAACCCCCCAACCAAACAGGCTGTAAATTTTCAAGTCCTGGCCACCGCCACCAGATTTGCTCTTTTGGACATGGTGTTGAAATTAGTTATATTTGCTGTTCTGGTGATGATAACTTGGGAGACTATTTTGAACATATTTTCTCAATGGATTCCATAAACCCTATTTACAGTGGAATTCTACAGTAGCATTTAGAATTCAACCCCTGAAGCAAAATCAATTATGATTTTGGGCTTTAATATAAGAGGTTAATACGCCTATAACTTCTCCGGAAGGAAAGGCAGATTTCCAACAATTCTTTATAGGAGGAGTTGACCAAATTTTGGCACTTCATAGTCAACTAGGAGGCATAAGACGCGCGATGCGCGTTGGAATGAATAGAAAACATGCCCAGTTAAACATGGATTCATGAAATAACAACGTTTGGTGGATGATAATTTGTATAGTTAGTTAAAAATAAATATTCTTTAATAATGAAATAAAATATATACTTATAATGTATGAATTAATCTTTTCTATACTATCAGTAAATATACATTGACAGGATTACATGAATACCACACCTTCTAAATTTGAATTTAAGTATCAAATTTTATATATGTGACATGCATCTACACCTGATAGTATATACACTATTAGTGTATAAAAAATTTATCCATGTACATGTGTGTGTGTATATATATACATTGTTGTCCTTTTGAAAAGAAATTTACAGTGTTATAACACGACATCAATATATAAATTAATGCCTTTACTACCATATCATGCTAATTCGAATACTGATGTAGCTTCAAACATATGAAAAGTTAAGAAATGTGGAGGAGGTTACAAGAAGACAATATACTAAGAGACCTCCAACCCATTGATCTTCTAGATGAAATATTAAATTATGGGATATGCCAAATAACATACACAAACATTTTAACTGGAACATATTTTGCACACACAAGTACTTTCAATAGAGCATGAGTTCCTAAGGCAGTGAATCGGATTGAAAGTGAAAGGCACCAAAGATTGGCAAATGCTCTTCGAATGCATTGACTTGAGTAGATATCACAATGTAAAATATCCATGCGATCACAGTCTTCTATTCAATAATTCAACCAAAAAAAGAAGGAAAGGAAAAGAACCTAACAGTTCTGTTAATAAAAGAACTGGAACTTCAAAGTCAAATGATACACAACAAAATATCCTACTATAGAAATTTTATCAGTACAGTAGTTTACAACAACAAAGACAGACATGAATCTAGATTCTGCTGTCTAAAACCTAATGTAACATTATTCAACTCTAGATTCAAATCCCAAAACAGAAGATGACAAAGCTAATTTGTAGAACTTTCATCTTTTATGGATTCGTCAATCCCACAAGTCAGAATACATTATTCGATATTGATATCAGCTGTACCTGTTAAAAAGAGGAAAATGACAAGAAGAAACAGCCCGAAATTAACATTCTTCTGTATATTGATGCCAAGACCATTATGTTGCAGCCAACAACCTCAAACACTTTTTAAAGTCCTTAATTACAATTTTAAAGCTCAAAAGATGCCAATGTTAATAAGAAGCTATTAATTTCATCCAATTAATGTGTTGCTTTTTATAGACAAAGTGATGCCAGAATTTACCTCCAAGATTGACCAGGAACATTCTGAAGTAGATATCCAGCATTGTGAAAAACAGCATAAGCCTTCTCATTTGATGCACCAAGCAACCGTAGTTCTTGAATCTCCTTCTCCCGCTTATCCATATGTTCCTTGTAGATTATGTAGACATAAATGCTTCAGAAAATAAAAAAAAATTGCTACAACCTAATCTTGAAAACCTAATAACTATTTTTTTAATAACTCACAATTAATTTTTCTTCAAATTCATGATTAAGATCCTTCAGCATCGACTTATCTGATTCCAGTGACTCAGACACCTTCATCAAGCAAAAGTGAAACCCAGCACAGAATTTAAATTCAAACAAACTGAAACCAGGTTCAGCATAATTACTTGCAATAAAGCAAGGTAATCTTTCAAACTTTTACTTCTAGAATTACATCATGCCTAAGCAAATAGGACGGTTTTTGCTTTATATATTTTTTGGTTCTTTCGAAAATTTGGACTCTTCAAATTTACTTTTCTTATCAACTGATTTTTTCATGAAAAGACAAGGTAGAGCAAAACTACAAGTTGAGTAAAGCGATTAATCTTCTCATGAATGTGAGCAATCTTCATTAGCAATTTCCCTTTGACAAACCCCAACCACATGACTTCAAAACATAGAGAAATAGAACAAAAAATATCAAAAGTTATGCTTCTCAATTTATAAAAACCACAAGCTCAAACAAACAAAAGGGAAAATATCAGTCAAGTGACAACAATGCTTATAACATTTGAATAGGTATCATAGGAAGAGAAACAAAGAAAGATCTCCCGTACAAGAATTACAGTCACTACATTAATTTCAAATGATTTTTAGAAAAGCCAGGATGCTAAAATCTTAGGAAAAAACATAAGCAAACCACCTAGAAGGGTCCTTCTCACAAATTTTCTCATCAGCAAATTGATGAAATAAAGAAAACAAGCATGTTAGAGAAAGCTATATAACAAAAATGAACAGAAAGAAGGTAAATAATGTTCTAGGTATTCTGGTTAAAGTAGAAGCATGGAATAGAAGACTACATGCATAACCATATTAATTTTCAAATTCAGCATTTTTTATGCATAACCTGTGGAGGCTTAAATGTTGTTCTTGAATATGCTTGGAGCCATCAAATAAGCATTTGCAGGGCAAAAAGACTATCTACAACTCTACAATTGCTTCGTATCTACAATAGAAAGAAAGGCAACACAAGTTTTAAAAATAAAACAAGAAGCTAGCTGAATAGGGAAGCATTGGAATAGATTGTTCAAACAGAGAAGAAATAAAGAAAGAGACAAACCTAATCCAAGTGATTCTCCCTCATGAAACACACACCCAAGTCTCAACTGCCACCAACCAAAAATCCAAACATTAAAATTTAGAAAATCAACCCAAATAGTCACAACAAAGACTATTAGAAAAACCTTCAAACCCACTTAAGCATTCAACCTTCATACACATTAGTTTCTTAATTAAAAATAAATACAAAAGATCACAAGAAGATAAAAAAGTATTTCACAGGATTGAGGGTCATCCCTTAGACTTGTTTCAAAAGGTTCATCTTATCAAGTTTTATTAACAAATATATACCTTCCAAATCATATCCTTTACACCAATTACCGTAACACTTTCCTTATGAGTAAAAAATTTTCAAAAAGAAACAACTTCCACCATAGTTTCACAAGGGCCTCATTAGGATCTATTCGGATTTTTCCAAATAGATCACTTTCATATTTTTTCCAACCAATAAAAAAGTGAAATAACATATTACTGGCTTCCAGGACTATAGACAAATTCATAATTACAAAATATCCCTCAAGGTAACTTGGCAGTTTAAACTTCATAAATAAAAACAAATTGAAGACATAAAACCAATGCTCCGGAAAAAAAAAAAGAGGAGAAAAAAGTACCTGTCCAGTGATAAGTTCCAGGAAGACAACCCCAAAATTGTAGACATCAGATTTCACCATCAATTGCCCACTCATAGCATACTCAGGAGCACGATAACCATAAGTTCCCATGACCCTTGTGGAGACATGCGACTTGTCTCCAGTAGGACCAAGTTTCGCCAGCCCAAAGTCTGAAAGCTTTGGAACAAACCCTTCATCCAGTAATATGTTAGATGACTTGAAATCCCTATAAATGACAGGAGGATTCGCTTTATCATGAAGATGCTCCAAATCCTTGACCACACCTGCTGCTATCTTCATTCTTGAATTCCAATCTAATGGTTCTTTATCAGGTGGAAGATCTGCAAAAGAATTGTTAAAATGGTTTACAAGGATGTAACAAATTATGTTGTGCGATAGCTACCAGAACAGTACTCTAACATAAGCCCAACAAAGAAGTATTGAATGACATTAAAATTAGCACATTATCCAAAGTTGATGTTAAGCGATAGCTACCAGAATAGTATTCTAACGTAAACCCAACAAAGGAGTATTAAATGACATTGAAAATTAGCACATTATTCACCAGTTATAATTATGACAACTGTAATACAGTGGCAATAACAGCTGTACTTGTGGAGAAAAATCATAGGCACACACATTAATATTGAGAGCAAAATTTGTTCAAAATATAAGCACGCATATTAAGATTTGTTAAATGCAAAATTTATTCCCCCATTGTTAAACTGATATAAGAGTCTAACAACCCAAAATTCATTCAAAGATTAAGAAAGAGGAATGCTCTACTGAACACTTAACACAAACATAAATAAACTAAATGGCATGACTTTCATTTTGGCTTTCCACAAAAGAAGTCAAGTTATTAAACAACAATTACGAGAATCACAACAGTGAGTCATTTTCACATGCAAGGTGTGTAAAGTCATTTGGTGGTACAAATAAATTTCATATCTGTGCTCAACATTTTCAGCTTGTTGATAGCTATTGACAATGTTAATCCTCACTTACAACATTAGGTGGAGAAGTGATAAGGCTTAAAATCATCCAACTGAAACTCTCGTAGCCTGAATGTAAACACATGCAGGACAAAAGAGAGAGACAGAGTTTCAGGAATGCAATTAAAGCACAAAGCACAAGATCCCTTAACATTATGATCAGCTAAGGAACCCACTTTTACTAAGTGAAGAAATGCATTATGCCACTCTTCATCAACCTCAAACAACAGAATGTGGAGTAAAGGCATAACATGATACAATACCAATCACCACTATTCAAAACACCAAACCATCCATTCACTATACTATGCCACTTATATGCCCCCAACCCCACCTTTCCCCTTTTTCTAAAACGAACATTGACCCCCATACTTAGAATAAGCAAGTTTGAGCCTATGCTCTGTTATTGAGGCTTCATTAGTTCTGCATTTTATTTTTCCTTATAAACGGCATTATTGTAAAGAAAGAACAATCAACATAAAAGTTAGTTTAAGTAGAAAAAAGCCCAATTAACTTTCTAAACAAAACTTACACTGTCATCAAGCCTTCCTTAAGAAAGTGTACGCAGTTTGTAAATTTCAGTAAACATGTAAATTCAATTTAAAAATGGGATGGACTTCTTGCTGAACATGCAATAACTAAACCACAAAGAATTGACAAGATAATGAACAAGAATGCCTGAAATGATACTATGAAGATGATCTTCCAATGATCCCAAGGGCATGAACTCATAGACAAGTAGCCTCTGGTCCCCATCAGCACAGTAACCGATTAAATTTACCCTGAAGCCTATTTCTATCCAATTGCTTAACTGCAACAACCTGTCCATTCCAGTAATCCAATTAATTAGCAATAATAAACTTGAAAATCAGCCAGAAAAATTTCGGTAGAGCCATTTCTAATAAAATCAATATTGTCATTTTTTTAAAAAAATCAGGAAAATTCAGAAAAAAATCCTATGAAATGAAATAATTAGGGAAAAAAGTAGAGAAAATCGCACATACCTCACTCTATTACTTTAGCTTGAAGATCTGGGGTTGAAGCTTTTCTTTGAGATCATCTCTAAGAGGGCCCAAAAAAGGAGGTCATATTGGTTAAAAATTAGAAAAAAAAATAGAAACGAAATTAAAAAGGCAAATTTTTGAATAGAAATAAAATAGCTCAGATCCATCTGCACTCTTTTGCCGCAGGTACACAGGATCAACTGTTTTTATGCGAATAAAACAACACCAAAGATTGCTCCGACTAAGTGAAGAAAATGATCAGAGGAGCTCGTTATACAGAATGTATCATACAAGAAGGGCAAAAAAGAGATACGTTCAGTGGATCAAACCTTCCTCCTTATGGACTGGATCAAAGTAGAGTCCACTGAGCCGGAATCATTGACCCCAGTTGCCGTAGGGACACAGAATTCCCAATGAGATACCACCAGAATAGCCGTCAATCCGATGCGAGAGGGAAGCTTTACATTTGAGAATATAAGAGCACTAAAATGGCGTCTTTCCAGTCTTGCTCGTAGAGATATGAAAGTACGACAGCAAATGAGACGGCACCTGCACAACCACAGAGCAAACTGTCCACGAGTATTTTCGGAAGTCATCTATGATCGTGCAGGAGAAAGGAAAAATAACAAAAATGAACGAAGAAGAAATGAGAGATGAAACGCTTTGGAGAGGAAGAAGGTGGCGGAGCTTCTGAGGAAAGAAAAGAAAGAGAGAAGTGTGGGGTCTCTATTCTTTACCCCAAACCCGAAACCCTAAACCCATTAATGCTCCGACTGAAAAGCTGAAAAAAAGGCCGAAGAGTAAGAGCAAAAATAGTACAGAAATTATTTATTGCCGTTATTAGATGAGGACGAAGGCTAGCTGGATTAGTGAAATGGGAGTGACCAAGTGCAGACTGCCTTTCTGACATAGAACAGTGTCGAACGTCATGGAAGAAGACAACAAAGCTAAACCACCAGCGAAAGAGGCGAACAACACAAAACGATGTCGTCAGGAACCACGCACAACGCACGTGAGAGGACGACGAAAACCATCCAGGTCATCAGAGCTCTTCGGCTCTTATTCTACTTATGTTGAAAATTGCATTTTAATTACCCAACAGATAAACTTCTTGTACTATATCCAGATCAATCATCTGACTTTGTTGGATTGTACATCCAATAAAGTGATAGTATTGACTCAGTCTCAATTTGACCATAAAAGATGAATACATCCATGAATCCATTAACGTGTTTATATAGCTGAAGATAGTCCTGCTTCCATTTCCAAAGGGCAACCAATCAGGAAATAGGCATGTGCAAATCAAGAACACTAGTATTTTGTAGGGCCTCCATTTACAAAATTTGAGCGTTCCAATTTCAATTAAGAGCTTCCATTGATGGGACGACCACAATACTGCGAATAGATGTTAGGAGCACCATGCGGATAAAGGAGATTTTGGGCACTTCTGCACTGGTTTTAATCAATGATTTATCACATAATTTAGGCTAAATGAAATGATTAACAATTCTTCCTGGGGCTAATGGTGTTTGAATGATTGTTTTTAACTAACAATTTTTTTGTGACAATGTGTTTTTTTTTTTTCACTTTTTTAGCTTTCTTAATAAAGGGTCTCAGATGAACATAAAAAAAATAAGAAAGATGGATCTATTATAAATTTCAAACACAATTATCCACCCTTTGAAATATAAAAATTAAGCTTTTAGCTGATCACTTTGGTTGTTATATGTGCCAATGTCAATGCCGTCCCTTTTCTCTTATATTTGTTTCTTTTTTGGTCTGTATTTCCTTATTTTGTGGGCATTCTATCAAACATATAAAATTTATTGAAACGATGGTCAATTGTAACACATTAAGTACATATATATCAGTAGCTATCATTACAATAACATACATATTTGTTGTCATTATACATAAGTTGATCATTTTTTCATTGGTTAGTACTGTATGAAGAAACTAGTTCTATATGTTGCTCTTTTGGACACGGCACATTTGTGGTTTTTGAAGGAGTTGACCAAATTTCGGGTTGTTGAAAATTGCATTTTGAATTTGCTTTCTGATTGTGCTTAGAGAAAAAAATGTTATCTAGAAATCTTGAACCAATCATCTGAATTTGTTCGTTTGTGTGCACATCCAATAAGTAATACAGTACACAGTTTTTGACCGGATTCTGCGTATCAATTAGTGCATTATGTGATAGTACTTAATTTGTTCAGTGGAGATTGAGAATTTGAGATGTTCCTTTTTTTGGTTTGTTTAGGCAGCAGCCAACCAAGAAAAAAGAGCATAATGCTTCCTGCGTGTAATTATATATTGTTGGTAGCCTCATTTCCAGGATAGGTTCATGGTATATTAGTTTTTTTTTTTATTAGCTTTTTAGTTTTTCTTTTCAATGCATTGAAAAACCAAGGCTGTATTTGATAACTTAATTCGACACTTAAATTTAATGAATTCAAATCTTAACATGTTTAGATGCATTTGATAATAAAAAATAGAATATCTAAATTAATTAAATGACATTAAATTTTCTAGGCAAATTTACTCCAAAAAAAAAAATGTGATAAGTTATTCACTTATCACTTAATGTGATATGTATTCAAATGTATCAGATTTAATACCTAACAATTCAGTAACTTCACTAATTCAGGTATCAGATTTTAAATTTCAGTTTTCAGATTTTTATTTTACAAAACGTGCCCAAATTCAGGTGATAGATAAGCGAACGAGCATGCGCACTTTTCGAGTGCCAGAAATTTGGATTTCCTTTCTGCAGTACTTCTTATTGAACGTCCACTATTTATCCGCTAAATTTGGACTTCAATAAACTTGGAACCCAGCTCCAAGCCCAAGTTTTTCATCATCTCAAGCTCAAAGTCTCAAACTCATGAGCTTCGGCAACTCAGTTTTTGGCTTGCCTAAATTTGATCCACAAAGTTTAAGTCCTAGGCTGTAGTATGGGAGAAGAATGATGGAAGTTGAAAAGGTGACAAAAAAATTTTTACACCAAAACTTAAAATTTCAATTTTATATATAGTATAGATATTGTAAATGCAAACACTTTCTCTTAAAAGTTTTTAACGAGAATGACATAAGCACTAATTTCTAGTTTTTTTTTTTTATGTAACAAGGTAATAAATTGTCATGCGAGAAATATATTTACATTTGATTACTTGAACAAAAAACAAAAAATTTCAACTTATAGCAATAATTTCAAAATTAGCATTGACTATTAGGACCAAGAGAAAGTATTGAGTGAATTATATATATATATTTCTTTTTTCTTTTTTTTTCAACAAATGCTAATATGAGTGAATTATATACACCACGTGACATCATGCAAAATAATAGAAATAACCATTCACCGTTACTTAATGGTAGTAGGTCTTTCCTTACTATTATTAGACGTAAGAATTACCCGCCATAATATTTGATAGCTTTGGATTGATAATAATTGTTTGTTTGGATTGATAATATTTGATGTACACAGTAATATATTTCCTTCATAAGTTAAAATAGCCACCTTTTGTCGTTGTTGTGGAGGATACAGCTCCCCGTCGTCTATGCCAAATTACTAGACTTATAGTAGTATTTAATAGGACATTGAATAGGCCATGATTGCTAGCAGATGAAAGTACAGGAGATCCACTGATTGGTGCACTTCTAGAAGATATACTAAAGCATGGTAAAAAGATTGATACCTGTTTTTTCTCCTTCATTCTCAGAGAAGGGAACGGTGTTTGTCATAAATTGGCAAAGTTTGCCATACCCATTGCAGGTGAAATTGATTGGAGGGATTCCTTCGCAGTTTGACTAACCAATTTAGTCAAAGAAGATGCTGGAGCAGTTGCCCCAGTTGATTAAACCTTTGTATGGTTGCTTTTTTAATGAAAATGCTGTTACCGGTTGAAAAAAAAGTTTGAATAGGCCATGATCACCCTTAGATGTACAAACTCATTATTGTTTTTGGGGGGTTTGGTAGCAGAAAGGGCACAATAGTACTAATAACCTACCATCATCTCAATAATTCATCTCATGTACTTCATTGATATCTGTGCATCACGCGGTATTGTCAATTGGTGCACGTAAAAAATATCAAATATTTTCAGGCTAAAATCCTGCATATATGGTGAATTTTTCTCTCCCTTGGCTATCACCTTTGTCAAGAAAAATTCTTTGTCAGACAATCAAAATTGCGGTCTGTGGAGTGCCAGCATCCAAGGCTATCCAGGGCGAAAGATACATGATCCCTGCTGAGAGTACAACTGTCCTGTATCTAAGGGCAATCTGCCAGTGAATATCCTTATTTTGGGAGATCAGGACTTCCTGCTACTGGAATGGAATGCTTATCTGTAATGCATTTTTTAATACTTTGTTATTCCGTCATGCTTCTCTCCCAACGAGTAAGATTTCTTCTTAATTGTTGAACTATGAAAATGAAACTGATTTGCATGCCTGATGCTGTTTTCTTGGATATGGGGCAGTCCCAGAAATAGTCTAAAGACTAAAGTGTCAATGCTCTATCTTGCAAGTTTGGACTTTGTGCAATCGGAAGATGGGCTCAGATAAGGAAGTGAGATATGACATCAACGTGGGCACATAATAGACTTTATACCAAATGTCAGGGACCTTTGCCCCTCCATATGGTCCAGTAATTGCACTGTGAGCGTGTGTAAATGCCTAAAATGTTTATTGTTAAGTCTGTGACATTCCTGTTAGTATGTTTAATACTTGGAATTACTGCAATTTGTCACTTTGAATTTCTGCTCGAACCATTCTTGCTGCATTTCCTTTCAGTATCTTGTCTTGCTATCTGGATTCTAGAGGGTCTTGCCTCAGTCTTGATGTTTCTTGATTATGCAGAGGAAGACTTTCATTGAAATCCTTAATCAGTTGCAGTAAGATGCAAATGAGTATGATGTTATAATCTCGAGGACATTTGAGCTACAAAGTGCAAACACTTTCACTGGTTGAAATCCTTTTATTTGGAGTGGCTATCTTGGATGTTCTCTTCACTGGTTAAGGGGGTCATGGTTATGTTTATCAACAAAGTCAGTCAAATATACAGACAACTACCTTTATACACCTATAGAGATGTTTGGACCGTTGATTAATAATGTTAGCTAGGTAATGCCAGTATTAGGAATAAAAGAAAAAACAAGAAAGAAAATGAGTCCTGCAAATTTGGCCCTTCCCAGCAAAGGGTGAACTTTCATCGAGGCATAAGATCAGAAACCGTTGCCATATTAACTGAACAAAATTCCTCATCTGTTCTGAAATTTGTCTCTACATCTTTGTGTTCGTTGGTTGAAAATGCAGGCATCTTAGGAGTGGGCAGACTCTCATTCTCATTCTTCAGCATAGAGGAGACCTCTAACATGGATGGCCTATCTTCCCAATTTTCTTGGACACATAGCAGAGCTACTTGCATACACCTTAGAAGTTTGCATGGCGATTGATCATCATCAAGTGATGGATCCAGGAACTCCAAGGCACTGCCATCTTTCCACAGTTGGTATGCCTAAAAATGTCATTATTGCAGGTGTGTTGTCACTGATGAAGTAGAATAAAAATGACAATAAGAAGGTTATAATGCTACTTACAAATTCTAAAAGATTCAGATTCTTATGCATTCCGTATAGGCATGAGCTCCTCTTGCCACTTATGATTTGCAAAATCAGCACACCGAAGCTGTAAACATCATACTTTCTTGAATACATACCTCGTTTTACATACTCTGGAGGAACATAGCCGCTTGTTTTCCAGAAGCAAGAAGAAGAAAGTCAGTATGGTGAATGGTGATAAGAAGAATATAAATAACCAGAGTTATTGATTTCTTACTAGGTTCCAATAATCCTGCTTGTGTTTGCTTCATTTTCATCTTTTCTGAAAAGTTTAGCAATACCAAAATCTGATATTTTAGGCTTCAGCTCACTGTCAAGTAAGATGTTGCTAGCTTTCAGGTCTCTGTGAATTACTGTGTATGCTGAGTACTCCTGGAGATAGAGTAGACCTTGAGTGACCCCTTCAATTATAGCAAGCCGTTTCTCCCAATCCAGAAATAGCCGTCTGGTTGGATCTGCATCAAATGAATCCCAAATGCTTAGTAACATGCCAGTGGATTCTCAACACATAAGTCAGTTCCTCTGATGCTTTTTATGACCAAAAACCTATTAGTTGTTTGAAGAATGTAGGAAAAACAACTGTTCATGAAAGACGAGAAACACTCACGCAACGAAAAAATTGTCAAGCTACTGTTTCTATTTGTGGAGTGACCTCACATTTTTCCTCCAGGACATGAATGGTGATTTCTAAAGCATTGGGTGCTATTCATGAAGAGAAATGTGCAAAATCATGATATAATTCTCCAGCCATACTTGGTATATCGTAAAATATTGCCTAGTTAAAAGTTCCTGCATGTAGCTAGATACTCGATTTTTTATTCTCAATGCCTAACAAAAAGTTTGCTCACTCTAAGTAACATATTGGTGGTTGCACGGTTATGGCAATATGCAGGGCTATGATGGAGTAATGGATTCTGACGCCTCAAAGATTAATCCCTGTATGTTATGGAGTTAACAGAATTGTGTAAGAGTTGACAGACCATAGAGATAAAAGTCCAAGCTCTTGTTTGGCATGTAGTCATAGATGAGCATCTTTTCCTCCTTCTCCGTGCAAATTCCGATTAACCTCACTAGATTGACATGTTGTAGTTTTGCTGCTAGTGAAACCTCATTCTTGAACTCCTCTGATCCTTGTGTTGATGTGTTGGACAGTCTTTTAACTGCTATTTCTTGGCCATCCTTTAGTTTACCCTGGCAAAGTCACAGCCAAAATTAGTAATGAACTAAATGCCAACCTGTTTGAAGAATCCTTACCCTAAATTTAGCCCTATTGCTAATAGAAATTCTTCTTTTTTTTTTTGTTTGAACGGTTACCTTATTCCTTGAACATAAACATTACTTATTCCTTGAACATAAACATTATTTGTATTCTTTGCTTTAGTATTAGCATGACTGCGTATTCAGAGTACTTTTAATAAGCTACATGTTGCATCACAGTATGAACTTGTGGATGGAATATCTAATATAACCTTATAAACAGGTCCAAATCCTCCCTCGCCAAGCTTGTTCTCCTCTGAGAAATTCTTTGTGGCTGCTTTAATTTGAGAATAGCTGAATGCTTGCAGATGCGGTGATATAGATCTCTTGCCTGAATCTGTGATCTGTCTAACTGAAAGGAAATAATCACAGTATATCTAAAGTTTCTTTTCATTTTAAATCAAAATAAGGAGGAAGCTATATCAACTTATCTCAGGAAATAAGTTCGTTACCCTTTGATAGGATGAATTTTCTCTTTAGATAACATATTATTGCCACCAGGAGAAAGGTTATTGCACTTGCTGGCAGTAATGTAAACAGTAAGTGTTGCTTTTTCTGTTGATCTTCCGCTGCTTGAGCTGCGAATATTGCAGTAATCTATTAGCTAAGCGCCAGGACAAATACTCCATAGCTGTCTAACAAAAACAGGACATTTGCTCTCTTTGACATAAAATCCTAGTAGGATGATTATGAGCAAACATGGAAAGTATCACCTGTCTATCTGTTTTCCATAATCCTCATCCATTTAAAGTATCCAATGGAAAAATGTAGTCACATAGACAGATTTTTTTTTTTTTTTTGAATGAGGCCACAGAGACAAGTATTGGCACTTGCTTAACAGAACTTTCTAGAATTACCATATATTGGTTACAATATTTGAAACATTTGGGTTTAAGTTATGCATGATTTCAACATCTGCTATCTGAGGTTTAGCAGTTTAGCAGAAATACAAGGCACAAATGAGATTGGCTATACCATTACTTTGCAGATTGAGTAGATAAGACATGACTGACCTGCTCTGGATAGTACATCCTTTGTATCATCATTTGGAACTTGCCATATGCTGTAACCGAGAAGTCCCTTTTCCTTTGCATAAGAAACTTTAGTCTTGATAGCCTCTACATCGTCGAAGCCAATCCAAAATGATCCTATGGTGCAGTAGTTCACCACATAAGTGGAGTTGAAAACTGATGTTGCTCCATAACTTGTCATATACCACTTGATATACTTGTAGCTCATCGATCCATCTTTAGTTATGGCCAGACCTGCAGCTGGTGCACCTATTGCATTGTTCTTGGGGTCCAAAAGTGTCCATGCATAGCCGTGGTATGCCAAGCCAAGTACCAATTTGTTGGCTGGTAATCCTTTGCTTATCCAGTTCTTTATACCAAAATCAGTATTTAGCCTGCTCAGTGGATCATATAAAGCAGCATGTGCTCCGGTAAACTTGTCTTTTGAGGACATATGATAGTCATATGACCTGAGATGCACCCAGTCTAAGTTCTTTCGGATTGAGTCCACAGGGTAGGTCATTGAGTCCAACACAGGCGAATAGTAACCTGCCATTGTCAAGATCAACCGTGATGTACTGGACTCCAAATTGATGGCCCTTCGCCACTCATCGAGAAATGCCTCCATATTGGTCATGTTCTCAGGGGTGCTTGGAGTTGCTCCAAAAAGATCAATGCCTTGAAATCCATACGATCGTGCTTTTCGAATAGAGGATTCAATAAAGGATCTCCTGCTCGATGATTGGCTTGTCATTGAGAAAAATATAGAAGAGTTTGCTTCTCCGTGGTCGAAGGATTCTGCTACTCCACACCAGATGGACAAAAGTGTTACAACTGATGGATTTTTCTTCTTGACAATATCTGTGAAGGTGGATATATATGGCTCATCAGAAGGAGAAACATAAAGCTCATAGTTTGAAGAATTTATATGCACAAAGGCAGCAATAAGGTGAGTATATAGAGCTGAATTGATATCTGGGACAGGAAATTCACTGCCAGAATACCAATAACCGGATTTTATCCAAGTTTCTGCAGTTGAAAATTGTAGGAGAGGCAGAAATAGGAGGAAGAGTTTGGGGGTGAGCAACAACATGGCCAGGATATGACTTATCTGGCATTTGTCCAAGATCATATCCTGCCTATTTGTTGCAAGTGCTTTGATCAACAATACGTGAACACATGGAATGTTGTGGAGGATTGGCTGGTGACGTTGATAGCAGCTTTTCTCTTTGTTTGTTCACAGAAAGTCGTCAAGAAGTGAAATAGCAGCCATGACCAGTTGGCAGATATTTTGGGGTGCTAGTCATTACAGTACAGCCCCCATTATCATTTCAAGAACCTCCTTTCCCTACTGGGTAGAAAAGCAACAAAAATCTAATCACAAATCAAAATACTAGCAAAAAGAATTGAATGCTACAATACGTTTCTCCCTAGAGGAATGGATTTGAGACAGGAATCTGAGCAAGATTTGTGTATTTGGTTGTACTAGCGTATCCTTGATAAGAAATAACACAATATTATTTAGTGTTCAATATGTTAATATTTGTTGTAGTTTTTTTTTTTTTTTGGAAATAACAAATTATTATTGATTGACTGATACAATATTATTGTTGTAGAAGTGTCTAACTTATAACTAATTAAGAAATTTACTTTAACTATTTTATCTCGTTATGATGAGTTACTTGTGATCTTATGAATAAAACCTTAATCCAATCTATTTTCTCATAAACACCGTCAACCCATCTCCATCATTATATTGTTTTGTTTTCTCCAGAGACTCCTGATGAAAGCACCAATCACAAGGCAGTTGGTAGTTGGTTCCAATATAACAATAGATTAAATTCTGGAATACAAGCTGAAGAAGAAGAAATCTAAAAAGGAGGACGTCTAAAGCAGGAAATATCATGGGGGCCCTTTTGCGACTGGACTTGTTTGGTTGAAATTTTTATTCTTGCTTGAAGAGGACGTTTTCAATGTTCATAGGAGAGTTTTCACACAAGTCTTCGCCGTTTGATTTGGCTAACAAGAAATCCAATACTCAGATCAGACTCTGTGTTGAAGGTTGCCAATAAATTCTGCTGAATCAGGTAAAAGTCTTACTCATGAGGGCGAATTCATTAAACTCCGAAAAGCCAACTTAGGATCAAAATTTTATGTTGAATTGCTTTATAGTATATCTTTAATGAACTATTCCAAGAGTCAGCGGTATTTTTATACCAGAATATTCGATACCTCATTGTTTTAAGATGGTAATGTAGTTTTTTTTTGGTGTGTTATACTGTGTTGTAAAATAGAAAGGTGATTGAGAAAAATAAGAAAAAAGTAATTAAAGAAACATGCAAGGAACAAAATATGTCGAATAATGAGAATGGTCCTCGTTTGTTTTTTAGCTAAATTATCATACTTCAATTGAGTTCGATTCATTAAGAATTCGTTCGAATTTGATTTGTTTACTAAGTAAAGTAAGGTTGGATAGCATTTTGTATTTGTTAAACTCTTAAATTTGATTTGGTTAATCCAACGGTGACAATATATACACTATCAGTGTATATAAGATTTACTCATATCAAATATGTTAACAAATATATAATCTATTCATGTTCAACTGGAGTTTGATTCGACAAAAGGGCGTTCGAAAAAATTTAATGAATAAACAAATCCAGGTTAAATAAAATTTCAACTCATTTAAAATTAAAAAAAAAACCTTTAAAACAAAAGTATCGGATGCTCTCCCAATCTATAGCTCCGATGTATACGATTGGGTTCCCTCTTGGTCTATTGAATCCTCCTAGTTATTTATCTTGCCATATAGTAAGTATTTATCTCGATTTGCTCAAAAAGAAAAAAAAAACTATTTATCCTGATTTTTCTGGACTCACATTTATCACATGGGTCTGAAGAGCTTCATGGGCTTTGGAATATTATAAGAAACCATGGTGGTCACGTCTACGGTGGAAAGTTGATTTTTGTGGACGTGACCGTGGTGGTCACGTCTTCGGTGGAAAGTTCACTTTTCTACCCACGGTAGACAGAAGCAATGCAAGGAGGCCAACTGTGTTCTGTGGGAAGCAACGAAGACAAACAGCAAAAAGATGCACCGGGCACCGGAGAAAGCCGGTCGTGCCTGGGTGAAATAATACAATACGTTTTGAAATCACAATAAAAGTCCTCTTAAAAATTTGTTCATCATCTAATGTACAATACTTATATTTGATAAATTAAAATAGTTAATTAAATATTTTATTATAATATGAACAACTATATATGTCATTGAATTGATTGAATAATATTTTTCTACAACAAGAAATTTTTTAAAAAATTCTTATGAATCCTTCATGTTGATAATCACCTTTACTTGTTTATGTAATCACAATGTCTAACCATGCAACAATTTGCGTTATACTGTTTAGAATTAAAGTTACTATATATTCAAATTAAAATTCTCTTTTTTCCACTAATTTTTTAAAATATATGATTCATGTGTTGTCATTTGTTTGTAATTAATTAAACGAAGAGATGCTCTTTAGGTTAAATGATAGTGTTTTGACAATGTGTAGTACTTTTAACGATTTTTATGAGATTTGAGAACACATTTTTTTTATGCATTTATTCTAATTCACATTTTATTTCATTTGAAATATAATTATTTAAAATATAAGGGACCATATTGATTAATTTTTCAAATATTAGGGACCAAAAAAATATAATTCGAATTTGATTTTGGCTGTTAGATATTGTAGTTTTCTATTAGTTGTCCTAAATTTGTCTAACAAAACAAATTTTGGAACCATATTTATTTTAGTCGAAATATCATCGACTAATTTAACTCATAGACCAAATATTGAGGGACCAAAATTGCACATCTCCCTTTATTTTAATCATGTTTGAGTTCCCAACTCTTCCTTTTATATTTACGCTTCAATTATTTCAAATATCAAACTCAATTAAAAAGAAAAACTACTACAACATTTGCTTTGACATGTATAAAATTCACTAACTAACGTTGAAAATTTCACCAATTTTTTGTTACAACAATCTTATCTATTATTTTCGTGCCCTTTTTTCCACGTTTCTTTGACACTCACTTTTTCGTTCTTCCCCTTTCATTGGGACCTGCATTTCAGCTAGTGTTCACAAAATATTTTCTAAGTACTGGGCATTAGATGATGAACAAAATTTTAAGAGGGTTTTTATTGTGATTTTAAAATATATTGCATTATTTCATCCACTCAAAATCGGCTTTCTCCAGTACCCCGGTGCATCTTTTTGCTGTTTGTCAATATGTATCCCCACAGAACACAGTTGGCCTCCTTGCATTGCTTCTGCCTACCATGGGCAGAAAAGTGAACTTTCTACCGCAGACGTAACCGCAATGGTCTAGGAACCTTATTCCTGAAATTCAAATTCAGTTTCTTCTACCATTGAACAAAGTTTCACCAGTATCCAAGATGAACATGGCTACATTGCCAAGTTGGAATTCTCAGATTGGTCTAAAAACTTGTGAATCGTATTCTAGTTTGCCTCTTTTAAGTTTGGTCTCTTTTAGATTGAAGTGAACGGTGATGGTTTTCTAAAAGGTGGATATCTGTCGTTAAACTAACTTCTTATGTTTTATACCTGATTTATCCAATAAATATCACAACATCAAATGATAATGGCGGTAATGTTGGTTTAGCTATGATAATATAGAAAGCTACAAATGGCAAGCGAAATGCTACTTTGATTCGTATCCTTCAGTATACCAGTTGGCTTGCCAACCATTACTGGATGCCAGACCTGCCCAGATGATTGTTTTCATGAAAGGCTTTACCCTCCTACCTATTTTTTTTTTCATAAGTTTTAAGCTTGTGATTTCACCCGAAATTTGCATCTCTTTCCTGGAAAATAGAAGCGTTAACATGATTGCTATGGAATATGGATTGATCATTTAACACTATTATAGTGTTTTCTAGCATTCTATGGTACCCTTGCTAGCACCGATTTACCACTTTTTAATGCACATAAAATGCTTGTTCAATTGCTTCAGTGGCTGAATTTTGTGGATGTATCAATACCCATCTTATATTGTATGTAAAGCTTCGATCTTGAAACTTCTTGAACATCAATGGGTACTTGTTTATTGGCTTTACTCGTACAACCACTAGAAATTCATCGTGCCACCAACTAATAGAATCAAATATTCAGATTGTCCCTTTTTCTCTCTTGTTTTTCTTTTCTCCTGTTTGTCATGCTGTCTTCTAATTGTCCTTTTGTTTATGGCAGTTTCTTGAAGTTCTCCTATTAGAAGTCATGGTACTACTTATTGGCGTGTAATTCCCTTTTATCCCTCTGCCTCTTTTGTTAGTAGTTATATGTGATTTCATAGCTACAACAACAAAGAGTGTACTTGGGATAGGTGAACTATGTCATTACATATTTTTCAGTAAATGTTGAGTTTGACTACAAGCTCTTTGCTTTTTAGGGAAAATGCCGGTTTTCATCCCCAAACTTTGGGGCAAGGACACATTTCGTCCCTCAACTTTTGGGCACGACACATTTGATGTCTGAATTAATAATTTTTGACCAACGTTATCCTCAAATGGCAATTTAGCCAATTTTTAACGGAACTGGTCACGTGAAAATCACATGACCATTACTTAAATCATATTTTTAACAAAACCTGTCAGTTTCCCATAAAGAACTAGTATGTTATGGGCAATTTATTATTTTTTTAAACTTTCACATATTTAATTTATGTTAAATACAAAACATACTAGTTTTCCTTTAAGCGCTATTTAACCAATTTTTCCTATAAAGAGTTGGTATATTTCCCATAAAGAGTTGGTACAAAACATACTACAAAACCTGTCAGTTTTCCATAAAGAGCTGGTATGTTATGGGCAATTTATTTATTTTTTTAACTTTCACATATTTAATTTATGTTAAATACAAAACATGTTAGTTTTCCTTTGGGCACTATTTAACCAATTTTTCCTATAAAGAGCTTGTATGTTTCCCATAAAGAGCTGGTACAAAATATACTACAAAACCTACCAGTTTCTCATAAAGAGCTGGTATGTTATGGGCAATTTATTATTATTTTTTAACTTTCACATATTTAATTTATGTTAAATACAAAACATACTAGTTTTCCTTTGAGCGCTATTTAATTAATTTTTCCTATAAAGAGCTGGTATGTTTCTCATAAAGAGCTGGTACAAAATATACTACAAAACCTGCCAGTTTCCCATAAAGAGCTGGTATGTTATGGGCAATTTATTATTTTTTTTAACTTTCACATATTTAATTTATGTTAAATACAAAACATACTAGTTCAATGGGTAAAAATATGTTATGAATAACTCAAAGTTTATACTTTTAATAGTTCAATGGGTAAAAATATGTTATGAATAATTGAAGGGCCAAATTTTTACTATTCAAATAGTTCAATGGCTGCTCAAATAATTTGCTCTTATATAAATAGTAAAAGTATGCAAAGTATATGTAATTTTTAAATTTTGAGGGGAGCTTTTTGTAACTATTAAAAATCTCAAGGGATGTTTGTGAAATTATCCCTTTTCATTTTTCATGCTGATTATTTCTTTTCTTGCCTATTTTTCATTTTATCCTTATTTTTAGCTTTTTTCCCCCTTTACGTACGGGACACAAGTGTTTATTGATGGATGCTTAGTCAAATTTGCCAAAAGTTGACTGATTGCATGCAGGAAACTGGCAGGTTTTGTTAAAAATATGATTTAAGTTCACTTAACGGTCATGTGATTTTCATGTGACCAGTTTCGTTAAAAATTGACTAAATTGCCATTTGAGGATGACATTGGTAAAAAATTATTAATTCAGATATCAAATGTGTCGTGCCCAAAAGTTGAGGGACGAAATGTGTCCTTACCCCAAAGTTTGGGGATGAAAACCGGCATTTTCCCTTGCTTTTTAGTACGAGAAATAGTTTGCATAAGAGACCAACCAACTATATTAAAGCAGAGTTTGCTTGCATTGACATTCCAATTGCGAATAAGTATTGCAGAATGTCATGGAAACACACTTACACAGGCATATCTTGTTGATTGTGTGGCATTATATTTTACCTCTTTCGTGTATACTTAATCTAAATATGAGATTCTAACATCCTCTATTTGCTAGTTCTGTTCTAGTACTGCAGACAAGGCATATTTTGTACTAACTAAATTTGGCCCTATAAGTTGCAGAAACCATTTCTAACTATCATTCTTGTTCAGAGTGCAATTACAATAACATAGAGAGATTGATTCCCTTCTATCAATCC